AGTTAGTAGCTCTCACCCTAGTGAAAGTACTCATACGATGAGTACGACTTTACTCATAATTCGTCCATGAGTACTCATATTGGTACTACTAACAATTTCTGAGTATTGTTACTTAGTGAGTACTCAGTTACTCATGTGAGTACTCAGTTCTGGCGTGGATAAGAAATAATTATAAATTTCAGTGTATGATAACGATGAGTTTAAACGAATTTTTAACTCAGGGAAAAAACAACATAAGCAGAAAATGCTACATACATACAAATACATACAAATTGCGGAAAAACCTAAAAAATCCGGAATTTGTCCGCAAAATGCGGACCATCTGCCAACTCTGATCCCATTACTTAAACACAAAAATAGCTTAAGAAAGACGAACCAACTTTGAAGAAATTTAAAAAAATAGATTACGAAGCTTATTTTTGCTTTTATTATCTAATCAGTAGTCTCTGCATACCTAACCATATTTTACCGTCGCAAACCATTGGCTTCAACATTAATAAAAGTGAGCGACAGAAGCCTTTGTGATTGGTCAATATAGAGATAATATCCTAATCTTTTATTGGTAGTGGTATATTGTTTACTAAAAACGCTGCAATATTACTCAACAAATGAATACGAACAAGTGAAGCATACATTCACATTCTTGAACTATTCAAGACAAACATGTTCAGGCTTGAGCTAAAGATTCGTGAATATAGATGTTCTAATTAAAGAGTTAGTTTGTACTTGCAGTTTCGATGAATATCTGAGGTTTTGATAATAATTTCTAACGATTTTTTAGCAGATATTACTGTTGTTCAAAAGGAAGAACCACATCCTAAAGAAATGCTCTAAAAGAAAATCTGAACATTCTAACTTATTTTTTAGCTTCTGTTACATAATCTACATTCGATTTGTAAAGCGTACCATACGCATTCCTTCTACTCCATACATGTATCATTAAAAATACTGATACTATGACAGATGATAGCATAGTGGAAAACTTCGTCAGATTAGACAATGCATAAGATAATTTTCTTAATATCACAAAAGTGTCTAATTCTGTTACATAACTTTCGTAAACAAACTTTTGAACATTTAACACTTGGTAGCTGTGTCATTTTAGATTTTGTTGCACATGTCAGTCACGTTGCACACGGATTTAGGCGATTTAAAAATAGAATTATATTGTGAACAGTGTCCAAAAGCCTGTGAAGTAAGTCTTTACCATTTTTGTAAAGTGATAAAGGTAAATACTTTTTTATTTTTTAGAACTTTTTAGCATTATGTGCAAGTGGGTATTACGATAACTGTTTATTTCATCGAAATGTTAAAAACTTCATGATTCAAACCGGAGATCCATCGGGTAACTAAATATCTTGAAAAAAGATTTGAAGTTAAATAAACATTTATTGTGCCATTTTGGATAGGAACGGGAAAAGCTGGTCAAAGTATCTGGGGCGAGTTTTTCCAAGATGAAATAAACGAACATCTTAGAGTAAGATATAACATTTAAATGAGACTATTTCTCTAAAAACAGTCCTTTTTTTCATAGCATAATCAACGTGGCATTGTATCAATGGCTTCAAGGTACGTTTGTGAATGAAATTATGTAAGTTGGAACTAATATTTTTTGACTTTTTTAGAGGTTTGAATACAAATGGTTCTCAATTTTTTATCATATATTCAAAACAACAAAATCTAGACAATAAATATACCGTGTTTGGAAAGTAAGCTAAATATTATGAAAACGTACTAACTCATATCCATGATGGGTTTCAATTGTCTTGCAAAGGTCTTTTTTACCATCTTCTACATTTTTCTTTAGAGTGATCGATGGTTTTGAAGTATTGGATGATTTAGAAAAATTGCCAGTGAATGAAAAAACTTATCGTCCTGAAACTGATACCAGATTACAATCTGTAACAATTCATGCAAATCCTATAGCTGATGTAGCCTAATTTTTTTGTTATTCTGTTTTGTTCTGTTGTGTAAATATTGTATAACAAATTCAAGTTTGGTATTATATTTTCAACTCTTCTCATTATTGCTATAATTTGTTTTATACAACTTATGCAAATCATCAAAAAAATTGAGTGCAAGTACAAGAATACTTGAATATTAAAATGAGAACAGATAGATTTCTAAGAGAACATTGTCAATTTCTGAAGAAAACGTGTAGACATTGACGATTGTTGTTTCGTTTTTTCTTTTCAGATAAATTTGTAGAACAATTAACATTTTCCAGCTACAATCTAAAAGTCATGGTTTGTGAAAATTGTATGTTTACATTTGTTTCTTATTTTATAGTTTAAAAGCACATTGAACGTCTTGTTGTTATAGGTCAGAGTAAATTGGGAAAAACTGTTACACAAGATCCATGGAAAACGGGTGCAAGAAACACACTTGGTAAAGGAAAAGCATCTCTTTCAAGATACTTCTCTCCCTATTATTCAATGTATCTAACTTTCAGAATAAAGATTTGAATTCTGTTTCGTCATGAAAACTTGAGCGTGATATTTGTATTGAAAATACGAAAAACACATATTCTAGATGTTCTAACTGCATCGTGTGAGTAATCACTTTTATAAAACAAACAAATAAAAATCAATCAATAAATTAAGAGAAATAAGATATTAAAAGATACAACTTTGTGTTCTAGCGATCTGACTAATTTTCAATGTTTAAAGTGTTTTTATTTCATTTTTAAGATGTGTATACAAATTCTGACGTATTCTTTCCGAGGAGAAACTGAAAAAAATCAAACTCTTTGTCGCTCAAATTCAATTGTAAAATTTTACGTTCCGACAAAAACTGAGAATTAAATTTAATGTATTTTGTATCTGATAAATAGGAAAAGAATCAATACAGAGGCCGAAAGAAGTGATTCATTTCGAATGCGTATCGTAGATAGAGAATAGCACAAAGAATCTATAATCTAGATATTTTATGTTTTTTCTGTTGTTTGTTCAATACAAATACAAAGCTCATGGTTTTATGGCGCGAGAGTTCAAGTTTTTATTCAATAAGTTTACTCTGCAAGTTAGATACATTGAATAATAGAGAGAGAGAGAAACATGCATATGTGCCTTATTTGTTCATTTATGGCACTCATTATCTCTAATTTATATGTTTTTCATGTTTTCTCTCGTGTTCTTATAGAAAGTGGTGGACGAAAATTGAACGAAAACAAATTATTATCTTCAAGAAAGAATCGGTACGTAAAGTGAATAGTACATAGACACCTTGGTGGTGTAAAGAATCTTTAGAGATAATCGTAAGCGTTTTCTTTCCTGGAATCTTTTCATTTATCATTGTAGATTTAATCCTTATACTACAAAATTTAATAAATGTACTATTTGTAAAGCAATTATTCATCAACCGGGTAGCACATATTGTCAAGGTGACGTTTTGAAAAACTGACCTGTTTTGTATCCGAAACTCTTATTTTTTATTATTCCTTTAGGTTGTTCGTACAAACTTGGTATATGCTCAATGTGCGGTGTTAAAATATTACAAACAAAAAATTATCGACAATCAGTGGTTTAAATAGCAAAAAAATAAATAAACAAAATTTCCATTTTGAACGTACTGTCTTGATATTATTTCTCTGCTTTTTTTTCTTTATGATTTTACTGTAAAATATTGTTTATTTATCTATCATAAAATAAAAAAGAATTGAGAAATATAACATTTTTTATTTTGTATAAATCATCAGAAATTCGATGCAACACGTTAATAATGTTATCCATTACATGTTTAAATGTTTGATCTCTTTACTATTGAGAATCTAAATTTATCATATTTCAACTAATGTTTTATGTCTAACTTTTCATTTATTTCCTTCTTTTACACAATACATATGATTTTTTATGTAAGATTTAAAAAAATTTATTTCATATCGTTCGGTATGTTGTAGACATATATGTCTACTTTTCGTGGTGTTCGAAGTATATTGAGTTTGGCATATATATTTCAGCAGCCATTTGTCAATTCTCTTTCTCAACGTTCATGTGTACTGAAAGATTATACTTCTGCGGTATTTCAACGACCATTTTCATGTTCACACGTTTGTGAGTGATTTGACGTTCATACGTTGTGAGTAAGAGATTCTTGTATTTTTTTTCTGTTTTATAGATTCTACTCCCTCTAAAATGTCGGATGAAACGGCTAAAGCTCAAACAGCTAAACCAACTGCAGATACGATATTCGGTAAAATTGCACGTAAAGAAATACCGGTAGATTTTCTTTATGAAGATGATCAAGTATGACTAATAATTCTTTTATCTAATGTAGACTTTATTCCGCGCCATTTTTTTAATTTTTTAATTCTAGTGTGTTGCATTCCATGATCAAAATAAACAAGCTCCAACTCATTTTCTTGTCATACCAAAAGTACCTATACAGCAATTATCACACTGTAAACAATCGGATGAACAAGTAAGTTGTCTGTACATAGAGATGAAAATGAGTTATCTGACTTCTTATTGTTGTGTTTTCTTCCTTTTATAGCTTCTTGGTCATTTGTTAGTTATTGCTACTAAAGTAGCTAAAGATCAAGGACTCGATGATAATGGTTACCGAGTTGTCATTAATAATGGAAAACATGGTGGACAATCCGTTTATCATTTACATGTACATGTTTTTGGTGGAAGACAAATGGAATGGCCTCCGGGTTAAGATCTTTATTTCTCTCATGATGTATTTTATTTATTTTTTTGTTCACATTAGCGTATCACTTTCATTTTTTTAATAACCTAACCACGCGCTGTCTTTTATTTACTTGGAAGTATGAGCATCATTCTCTCTTCTAAACAAATTCTACTGAGGGCTTTTCAGAATAAAAATGCAATAGCAACAGCTTCTTTCATACATTTTTTTAATTTTGTTTCTTTACTGGTCCACGTTTTGAAAACTTAAATTTTCGTTTTATATGTCAGGTAATTTAAGAAAATGAAGATAAAAACAAGAAAATCACTTGTGTATCTATCTATACATGCTCTTTTTTCGCTTGAATTTGTTGTTGTGTTTTATATGTAACGGAGTGTAGCGAAGTTTCTAAAAAGATTTATTTGCATCTGTTTTTACATATCACTTAGGTTTTTCTCATTGAATTTTGCATCACTTTCTACGCTTTCGATTGACATACAAAAGGGGTATTTCTAAAAGATGCCATCACCCACGAACACACAAATTGCCTGAGACTATCCTAGAGCGATAGCGCGCCAAATGACCTTACAAGAGTATTCACCAACATACACTTGAATTTAACTTAAAAAAACTTAACTTACCCCTTTGAGTGGTGTTCTTCAGATGAAGTACGTAGACTCTAAAGATGTGATGTACGTACGTTTGTATAGGTACCTCAGCATCCTAAATACTGTGGAGAGGATCACCGGGTGCAAATACTCGTCCATTTGAATGTTGGTGGCTATTGGTGGATGTTAGTGGTAGTATTCCATTCAGGGTACCTCAGATTTAGGTTCAAGTGGATGTTAGTAGATGCTGGTGTGGGGTTAAAAATATATATATATTATATATTATAATACGGTTGTTTCTAAATCTTGAACCTTTATATTAGACTTCAACATTTGCAGTATTGGTGCTTTCTGTATATAATATTAGCAAATATATATATATATATATATATCAGATCGAAATGCACCGATACCAGTAATCTGTTATACAAATCAGTGTATGGATTGTTTATTCGTATGGGATTTTCGTAACACAAAAGCGTTATGCTAAGCTATTTTAGATTTCCAATGGTCATGTCGAATCCCACATTTAATTAATTTAAACTAACACTCAAGAGTTGTTAGTTAATTAAAAATAAACGCAAAAACGATATTAATTATCACAGATAAATAACATTTTTTTATTTATGAACAAAACGTTCAACATATCACCAGTAATCATAATAAAAATGGGTTTAGCTCTCTCTAGCGTATTTACCATCCAACAGGATAGCCCAATCTGATATTTTCTTGTTTAATCCATTTGTACAATGGTTGAAAATAATCTAAAATGGCTTGTGATTGAAATGTATTTTCACCTGTTAGTGTTTCAAGAATTTCGGACCAATGACGAGAATTACCCGCTGCTAACATTTGATAAAATCTGTTTCCAACACTTTTCTGCTTATAAATATCACACAAGTGTAGAGGCTGTTCATTTCGACCAATTTTGCAAAGAGCACGATGAAATTGAAACTGAAGGATGTGTGCGAGAAAATATCGTGTGTATGGTACATTCGATGGTATATGATATTTTGCGCCGGGATCAAAATTTTGTTCCGAACGTTCAACAGGTGGCATTAGGCCTCCATATTTCAGTCTCATATCCCACCAGACACTATTTAATTTTGATACATCAATCTCATTACGAAACAGTGCAAACCGGTATTTATCCATGATATAGGCGAAGGGAAGAAATGCCACCTTTTGTAGGGCCATACGCATCAAAAAATTCATCTCATATTTTTCGTTGATAATGGTTTTATCAATGAAACCCAGTGTTGCTTGATGTGTTGGGGATAAGACGAACATGCCAATTGTATCACCAATTGCTTCATGAAATGCTGAATTCGCTCCAGTTCTATAAACAATTGGCTGCGTCTTATCATAAGCCATGTAGTATTCAACATGTCCCATTTCATGATGAACCGTATACAAGTTGTCATCATTTATTTCTGTGCATATTTTAACTCTATAATCATTAGTATTGGCCATATCGCTTGCAGAAGCGTGGCAAATAGCAGCACGATCGTTTGGTTTTTCGAACATAGACTTAGACCAAAAAGTTTTGGTCATAGAATCCAAATTAATTGATGTAAAAAAATTTTCAGCTAAAAGATACATTTGATGAATGGTTACTTTTCTATCTAACAAAATTTTTGTTATATTCGCCAATGGATTTTCTGGATAGGGTAGGACATCATCGAGACGATCATGCCATTGTTGTGCCCACATATTTCCTAAAAAGCATAGAAAAAAATGTTGAATAACCTTTCTCTTTTCACCTTAATTTATGCTCTCCTATATACCCAAAAGATGAGCGGGTATTGGTCCATTGCAATCAAATCTATTCGGATACTTTTTACATAATTTTCCTCTCATATAAGCATGTATCTGCTTGTATAACGGTAATATATCTAGTAATAATTGATCGAGCATATCTTCAAAGCCGTGTTTTATCTCGTAGTCTTCTATCCAACTTTCAGCTAAATCTTGATAACCATTCTCTTGAATATTTTTCGTTAACAAATTGATATAATCTAAATAAATTGGTCGAATTTTGTTCCCACATTCATCATGCCAACCCTTCCACGCCCACAATAGACGATCATAGTCTTTTTCAACATGCATCAAGTTTTCTAACATGGGAGTCAATTGATAACATTCGTTTGGGTCTTTCAATTCACAAACCGTTGCTGTCGAATAGATACTGTCCATTTGCGAATGTAGCTGTGATCCTTTTTCTACATCACGATCATCTTTTACTACGGTACCGAGTGCTGCAAGACCATAGATACGTTTTAAATCATAATCCGTCGAATATTTCATGTATTTATTAAACTTTTTAATGATTGGTAATGTTTGTCTACTAAATGGAGTTGTAATTAACTTTTGTTTTATTTGTTTTTCTTCATTTTCTTGTGTTATATTTGTCTCATAATTCCATGATAAAAGAGCTGATATTTGCATATATCGCCGTTCAATCTTTGTATACCAGTTGAGCCATTCGAGAGCTTGATCATTGTCTGAATAGTCATCAATAACCGGCATATGATTTAAATCTATTTCATTTAAACTATTCAATAGATCAATATCAATTTCACCGTTGATTTCGTCGAAATCATCACCCGTTTCGTATAGTAGATCGACTTTTTTCGACAGCGAAAAATGAAAACGTTTTTCAAGAAGATAATTCAAACTGATTCGTTTTTTATCATTATATTGACTACCGTATAAAACATTAAGTTGTAATAATACGAAAAAAATGACCAGATCGTAGCGGAGTAGTCGAATAATCAAAGTAGTCATGGCTAGTTGCTTGTCACATCATTATTGTTATTTTTATTTACATAATCTATAATAAATGTACGAAAAATAGTTGGCTTCTTTCGTTCCGCCAAATTCTGTGGTTACCAGGATGGTGCTTTCTCCCTTACTATCTTTTTCTATATACATCCTATAATCAAGAAATTATCAAAGAAATATATATAGACAACACAATATCTGCTTACTTCTCGACTCAACTCAAATTGAGGATATGGCTGAGTACGGCAGAAAGTAATACTTTCTGACATACAAATTTAAAACGATATAAATTACGTTCGGTTGTTATTCACAGAAAAACAAACTATACACATCATTAAACTCATAAATACTAAGACATAAATATGACTATGTCAGCTGTGCATGCGTTGTACACAATACAAATGACTGTATTTTTATTTCTTTTTTTCTGACTCAATAGGATAAATAAATCCTCATGATGGTGTTTTGTGTACACATAAACACACACGCAAACTTTTTCTCCTCTTGAGTAATACGTACGATACATTTTTATTTCTGCTCGTGTTTTATATTTATGTAAAAACAAAATTCGGCAAGTTTGTGGGCAAATTTTTCTTTTTTGTACGGTGGTAACTTTCTTTTTCTTGTTTCTTATCCAAATGAGAGAGCACGAAGGAATAAAAACATTTACCTATTTGTGTATGTACGGATCATTAAACGAATAGTAACTTTTGTGTCAGTGATTCATACTGTATACCAGCACAGCACAAATGAGAATGACAAGATTAGTAAATAAGTGCCGTCTGAATAGTGTCAGAGTAGTCTAAACAAAATAACATAACATTTTAAGAGAGGATTGCCACAGTATCGAGTAAATGCTCGACAGACTATAACCTGAAAATTTTTAGAATAAACTAAAACCGACACGAATCGAAAGAGCAGACAAAATTAGGTATACGAAATTTTATTAAGACCCTAAAACGTTTCACATGCTGAAAAAAATCGAATTTCTATAAAAAGTCGAAAAAAGCGACTTCTTTCATATTTTCCATATAACTTTTTTTCTTTATGTTCGATTTTTTCGAGCAAAATTTCATTCGATAGAACGAAAAGAAACTGAATGTAGCTCACTACGTATTACTTTTATGGTTTTGGGTTTTAATCGAAAAACATTAAAAGATTCAAATTTTTATTTTCTAAAAAAATGAAAAGCTCATAAAAAAGGTCATCTTTGAGATAGAAAATGGCCACGGAACAAATTCTCACCATATGGATTTTGTAGAGCACAAAATAAGCAGAGAAATATTGAAAAAGAGTTTTAAAATAGAGTTAAAGTTTGAAAAGAAACGTTAGTGTGCAGGCCAAATGTTTTTGAAAATTTTTCAGTATTTCGTTTGTTGGCTTCTCAGAGCTATGTTGAACCCATGAAAATATCATAATCATAATCAGCGCAAAAAATCGAGATGACTGATGTACAATTCATGAATGTTGTACCATCTTTGTAGGATCCAAAAGACCATAAAAATGCTTTTTTACCGATTTTCTCTATTTCTTAAAAATCCTTTTGATGTTTTGATGGTTCAACTTTATTCCCTCCTAGGAGAAGGCCGAAACCGACTCTTGCGATTGAACTTAATAAGTTTGTATGAATTGCATTAGACAATCGAGCGCTCCCTGAAGGTGTCACACGTCATTCAATTCTCGGTGCTCTATATACTTAGACGACGCTTCGTTCTATTTTAAACTAGTTAAAAGTAGCAGCCCATCTCTGACGCGATGCACGCACTTCCTTTAAAACCAAACAGTTCTATTTAGGACTATCTACATACATGGTTACTACTAGGTATGCACCAGTACCGGTACCGGTACCAGTAAAAGTGCTCCACAAAAGTCAAGTGTTTTTGCAATAGTTCAACTTCCTTGATAGATACAGACTCCGTTCTTTGGCCAAAAGAAAGCCTACGTTGAGTACTATAAACCCTGAGAAAATGGTTAAGTTCCAACTTAATTTGATTGAGCTAAAGCAAAAACGCGGTGTTTTACACAATTGGAAAATCTTACTTCCTGAGTATTTCACGTTTCCTAACGAAGAGAATTGCGCGAAAAAAATTCAAAAACACATCATTCGGTAGAAAAGTTTACGAGTTATCCGTTGCTGATCAAACTTTCAGCTTTTGAGCATGTCTTCACCGCCAAAAACTTGTTTTAGTTAGAGTGGAGAAATCGTTTTTCCATTTTTTGGACCAGCTCTAACTAAAAGAAGTTTTTGGCGGTGAAGTTATGCTCAAAAGCTGAAAGTTTGATCAGCAACGGATAACT